CGGAAAAGATCGCAGACGTGGCCACAAACGCCATGGAGGAAAGAAACATAACCGCAAGCACAATTGGAGCTCATCTTCTACATCTGAAGAAGACGATTAAATAATTATCTTTTCGATAGTGTCTCCTTTTTCAAAAATGATTTCTGAAGTTTGCCGTTTCAGCATTGTTTATTCGCATATCCAATCAACACTTTCATAGAAATGGTAATTGAATGTTCGATTCAATAAAAACTAATATCTCTGAGAAGTTTTAAATGCTTTCTTCGTAATCTTCATCTTCATCTTCCTCGATGATGGTCTTATAACCATTAGTTGTTTCTTCTTTCTCACTCATCCATCGTTCATACACGGAAAATGTTCTGAAACGAATTACAACCGATCTGAAAGAACAATCTTAGCAATTCTACTTGTTGAAGTTCAGTTCAATGGAATGAACGTTTCGTTCAATTTCATGCTGAACATGAGCGAATATTGTTCCTGAGAAAGAAAGGCCAATGATTATGAAAAGGTACGCCATGATACTACTGAAAAAGGTTTTTGTTTGACCTCTTTGAGTGAGGCTACTTACTCATATGAACAGTAACGATTTCCAATTGATGTGAAAAGAAGAAATACTCGGAATATGACGTCAACAAAAGACTGAAACATTGTATAACGTTAAGTATATTCAAACTGTCTTTACTTCATCTGGATCGTCATCATCATGAAGAACATTGAAAGCAACTGATGAGAAGAACAAGAATCCAATGAATGGCCAGTACACAGACGATCCCTCAAATTTCAACTTCATTACAGTTTATGACGATTCTCAAATCACCTTCCATAACGTTGAAATCATTTTGTTGAATTGAGTCAAAACAATGAGAAATATAGGAGCTCCTGAAAATTCATTGAGTATGCTTTGCCTAGAATGCCATGCTTGTTACCTATGAGTACATAGAATACTGCAAAAATCTTCTCTTCTGTAGAGAATTCATCAACTTCTCCCAATCCTAAAATTTTCTTTTAACCATCATTACAACAAGTTTTCAAACTATACCGACAAGTGAAATGAGATAGAATGCTTTTTTCATTCCCTTTGTCAGAACATTGGAATTACTACTCTCACGATACTTCAAAGTCGACGAAAGTATCTGTAATTGCAAAGTTGATCGATGATAGACATTTGTGATCATTGGACCTTCTCATAGAGTTCCATTTTCTTATTTGCCTGTGAATACCAATCTGATTCAGATTGAGTAACAGATTCTGCCCAAAGAACGTTCAATAATGCAGTTCGTCTATTTTCAAAAATTTCTTCTGCCGTGGAAATTTTTGGTAATTTCTGTGAAAGATATATGATTGTTATGAATAGATTAATAACCTTACCTGACTTTGAGAAGTAAAAAATGCAAAAACTACAGTACCTACTAAGAACCATATCGAAAGGAAAAACAAAAAAAACAGGCTTCTACGTAAAGCTAATTGAAATCTTGGATGATAATCTGCGGGATTCATTATCGCTATGGGTCTTTCTACAAATCAATAAACATATATATATATATAGTTATAATAATAATAATTACCTTGAATAATGGAATCAATAGCAATACTAGTGGGAAAAAAATAAAATTTTCTTTCTGCCTGTTAACACTACGAAGTATTTATCTTTCAGAGCTTTTCATTGATTCTCAAGCTATTCATTTCTTGCAGAAAAGTAGTTGTCTGTGTGTATGTGTGTGAGTGTGTGTCGGATATTTTTACAAATAGAAAAACTGATTACACCAATAGTTTTTGCAATGCTCTGCTGCACAACAGCTGTGTATGTGTGTATGCGCGTGTGTTTCAACATTTTAATGATGATATTTTTCAAATTCATAGATAGAATATACTCAATCAATAATACAATAACCTCTGATCATTAGAATTTCAAATATGATTCGAGAAAACAACATAAATCACAACAAGTATATACTCAATGCTAAATGATATCATCATATGATATACAATTCAAATCAACATTTCAAAATATATTTCGAAATAGAATAGAAATCGTATACATGTTCTAAGAGCGATGTAAACATGTTTGATTTGACACAAAATTGTAAAATTAATTTAATTAGTCAATGATGCTTAATGCATTTCATTCATTCCATTTTCTTCTGTATGGTATGCTATATCATATAGACACATCTTAACTATATAGATACATAGATAACACTGTTATAAAAATAACTTTTTTTTCATATTGAGTTGGTAGTCATACTTTTATAATACGCAATACGTAAGTATGAGCAATTCTATTTTTGCGAGAACGTCATAGAACACAAAAAAAAATTTTTTTTTTCATATATTGATTCTAAGTCACTTTTTATTATCGTATAATTGTTTTTAAATAAAAATATTTGACATAAAAGTATAGTAATGAGACTAGTTGATTGATTTTCATTGGAGGTTTTTCTATTCATATACGTTTGTAATGATGTCATGTTGAGGGCTAGTTCCTTGGTAATTAAAGTAGCATTAACCATTGAAAAGCTATTCTCAATTGCTTTTGAATCTATATTTTTCTTTCATTTTTAGTTTTATGACTGTCTCAGACCATACCAATTGATCAAAGAGCGGTCCATCTAATACAATGACTCATCCATTGTTACAAAATGGGAGAGTGACTGTGTATATTGTGAAAGTCGAGTTTTTAGTCAATTAGTTTTTGTTCAATTTTATTTTCTTATTCGAATTTATATAATGATGATGGGAGTAGTTGAATTGAACAACTGTTACGAAAATAATCAATGATTAAATATAAGATTATAATTTGTATAGTTAGTAGTGTGTATGACAAAGCACTTTGATATATGAGCCATGATTGCATGAGCATCATCACTTCTATTCATACTTTTTAATTATCAACAGTTTATGTTGTATTTTCATTATAAATGAACTGTATGACATTCATTGTTTGCTAACTTTCAGCTTCTTCCAACAAACACAACGCATTCTCTATATCTCCATATTGTTCGCTATCTTTCCTTTCTCTCCTCTCTTTGATTTTCTATTCATCGCGTATTGTTCAGTCTACACTGTCATTCTATCTTTTATTTGAAATCATGTACAGTTTGTTATATTATATATAATTTGAATATATATATATATATATGCATGTGCATATCTATCAACACTCACATACGCATAGAGGCTTTGTACGTTTGCCATTAGCTAGACTTGCTTGCTTTCTAATTCATTAAGTAGCCAAATTCAATTTCTTTTTGGACCAACTTTTTTTTCTTCTTAATTATATTTGAACAATGGAAGTAAAGAAACGTTTTTTGAACTTCTTCTATCGCCCTATATTATTCTTGGTATCTCATTTTTAAGCAAATATGATGATATTGAGAAACAGAATGTGCACATCGATACTATTTCTCCTCTTAAATTTATTATTAGCATTATAGCTTATACACATAAACGTTACCTCGACGGCAAGCCACATGTTATACGATAGGTTTATGATGTGTGTGTGTGTGTGTGTTTCAATCATTTTTGTCTTCTCCTTTAGATTATTTGATGACTAGTATGATTCATCTAAAATATATTACTTTAATTATACCTCTATACTCTTTCATTTAAACGACAATCACATGAGACATGCTATGAAACGTCTTATTATAGTTGAACGATCTATCCAATTGATTTATTCGTATGGCTTTTCTTCACATTTTATGTCTTTCAAACATATTCTGTTGTCTTCTTATACTATAATGCTTTACTAACTTACATATTTCAGATGAGCAATGTTGAGTCAACATCTGAAGAAGCAGCTTCTGAAAGTCATTTAGATGTTATTAGAACTGTTTTAAGTAAATGGAGGCAGAGATTTGAAGGATGCAGTTTTATGGGGCGAAAAGAGAGAAAGTAAGTTGTTCTTTCTTTCTTTCTTCTTTTTCTTCATCTCCTATAATCATTGTTTTTTCTATCTTTTTGCTCTACAATAACAACAGAGAGAGAGAAAGAAGCATTTTCTCTTTTCATAACACAGAGCGCATCATTGAGTCAGTTAGTACTATAACAACATAACCATTAAGTCATGCTTCATATTTCTATTAAAACACTATCGTATGAGCTATGTTATGAATAGAAACTACTAAGGGGCGTGAAAAACTGATTATTAATCAGATGCTTCTGGTAACTTCTCATTTGTCATTCATTTCCATTTGCACACTAGAAATTAGTTGTATTTCCTAGTTGTCAACTATCTCTCCTAAGAAACTTCTGATTTCACACTCTATACTATTCGAGACTCACCATGACGAAAATTACACGATTCATATCTATGTTCTGCTTATGTTGTAAGTCTTCTTCTAGTCGTACTCGCCGACCTAAACCGGAGAAACCTGCCAAGAAGACCACAAGGAACTTGAGTGATTCAGAAGCTTCTGCCACTGATACGAGTGAAGTAAACGTCTGTGATAAAATAAATAGTTTGGTGAGTATGAAAAAATTTAGTAAAGAAGAAAGCTCAGGCTTCTATATTGAGTAGACAAATATGACAATGGCATTTCAGATGTTAAGCCGTTTCATTCAACTGCCCATAGGTATTGATGAACAAGAATGGATTGCCCACCATAGTAAGCATTATGATAAACTTTAAAATAAAAGAGTTATATTCAGCTTTCTCATTATTCGATCATGTAAATGCTTTATGTGGTACTGTATCTGAAGTCTGTACCCCCGTAACATGCTCATCTATGAGTTGTCCGGAAAACACGTAAGTTGAACCAAAAGAGAAAAAAATTGATTATAACACTGTTTTTTTTCAGAAAAATTCCATTCATTGATGAAAAAGGAAAAAAATGTTTCTATCCGGCTATGCAATATATAGATGCTGTTATGACATTTTGTGAGCAGATTGGAAGGAATGAAGAAGTTTTTCCAACTAAATATTGTAAGTTCTTCCTCAAACTTTATGAATAGATGTTCCTATTGTCTTTTCTCTTTATAGCTTCTCCGTTTGGATCAGATTTTCACGATGTTGTTAAAAGAATCTTATTAATGATCTGGCACTGCTTGGGACATCTGTATGAAAGTCATTGGAATACTCTTGGTCAGTTTCAAATTTCAAGCGCAGTATCATATTAATTAGGATAATGGCTTAAGAGGATATATGAGCAAATGTAGATATTATAGTTGACATCTGGAGATTGGGAGAGATATGAAAATATTCTTGAAAAGGGATAAGCTTCCATCTAGTTAATAAGCCATTAAGTTGATCGAGAGAAATGTTTATCTGTATGAAAGGGATTATAACACGTATTCCTAGAAAAGGAAAATATGATATTGGGACTATGGCCAAATATAGATGACGTTAATGCTCTATTCAAAAAGGAAAATGAAATGTCATGAAGAGAAAGAATGAATATGAAGAGAGAAATCAAATTTAATGCGTGAAAACGATGATCTTCATCGTTCTTCGAGCAGTTCCGTGTTAGAATGCATTGAAGTGGCATTCCAACAGATATTTTGAAAAGCTATTGTACGCGCTGTAATATCTTATAGTATGTTGGATACAACATTGAATGAAAACATTACGAAAAATATGAAATTGTGGAATTTCAATCTGAAAGAACGAATTGATGGAATAGTCTGACTATTGTCTTGTTTGAAGGCTATATCACGATGATGGTCAGATTCATATGTAATATGGAAGTGACTGCCAAAATCCGTTGAAGGATTGGTCAAATTGTTGTGTTGGAGATAGATTGAAGATCGAGAGGTTGTTCCTGAATGAACATAGTGCTTGAAACAATGTTCAGACTACGTTTTGCATTCGTATTGGGCAATAGTGTGTTTTATAAATTCTCGATCTTGTTCAATCTACAATTCTTCTCATTGATCCAGTGTTTCCTTATTTTAACGGATGTATTGCTCTACATAATGAGTGGCCATGCATCCATGAACTTAATAATGCTTATGAGAAATAATGCTGTGAAATAGGATGTCTAGAGATCTGAAAAAAATTGAGACGAGATGGCCGTAAAGAGAGATAGAAAAGAAAAGAGATGAAAAAAAGAGAGAGAAAAAGGAATTTCAACTGAAACTTGAAGAGGATGAAAAAAAGAAAAGAGATAGAGAAAGAGAGAATGAGAGATATTAAGAAACAAAAAAGAGAGTTGGAGGTAGAAAGTTCAAATGAAGTGAAGAATAGGACAGAAAATAATTGCTGGTTGAGAAGAAATTGACAATAAAAAAGAGATAGATAAAGAGAAGTTGAGATAGACAATGAGAGAATAGATTATGTCGTTTGAAGAGAGTTTGAAAAACGAAATGAAATTATAAGATGATATTCAATGGATAGGAATGAAATGAGAAATTGAAGTAGTGAAGAGTGTGTAGAAGTGAGATAGCACAAGTGTTTTGTTTCGTGAATTCTGTATGAAATGAGAGAATGCCTTAAAATTCTTTATTCACCAATAGTTTCAGTCCTGTCAATAGAAGAAGAGATGAAGAATGTTAGTTGAAATGAAATATCATGATATGTCTCTTCTTGGTATGGTATACATAATACAGATACATATATATATATATAGTAATAATACAACACATCCCTAATACATACTGATTTGTGTTAGAAAGAGATTTGTGGAAAGATTGCTTTAGGATAGTGTAAAAGAGAAATGAGACTTGAAGCATGACGCTTTCTCGATATGCACAGTTCTTGGAAGTGTTTGGTTTATGGTTATGAAGTATTTGGTTAATTTCAGGTGAACATGAGCTGTACCCGCAGTACCTACTGGTCACAGCACATTTGGGACAGTTTTGTAAGCAGTTTGATCTATTGGATAAAGAAGTGCAGGCTGCCATAGATGACATTGTGGCCAAGGTGAGTTATGATTGAAAACCTATAAAAAATTAAAAGAAAAAGATAAAATTAATAATAATTTCGAAAATACCAATCTTGTAGTCAAAGCGGAACTATAAATGTCATTGCGAAGCTATAATGTGTGAGTTGCGAGAAAAGAAGGTTTAGTCTCGTAATAAGAACGAGGACATTTGTCGTTAACAAGTGCCAATTGCTCATCTCAAAATGTATGTGAGCGGCATGGAACTTGTCAGCTTGCAACCATAACTGAAAAAATTTGATTAGAAATGAGGACAACAAAAAAAGAAAGAACATTTATATTGCATTTTGGGGCTAGATTGACTAAGTGAAGAAGAAGGAACAAGAGAAGAAAGAGAAAGAATAAACTTTTGAGGTATTAGGATCACATATGGCAGTCAACAGATGCATAAAACGTTTTAATATGAAATTTATATAGTAAACGAGTGGGCATGAACGTTTGAAAAGCTGATTAACGGCTTGAAAAGCTAAAGAAGCTATTCGTCACATCTCATCTTCGACTGACATATAAGTATAATTATTTGAGAAAGCCACTAATTGGAATAATTTGGTAGAAGTCGATAAAGCCGTTTTCTACGAAATGCAAAAATGAATATATAGATGATTATTATAAGCGTTTGACTGGCGAACTTGCTGAAAAGAATGGAAAGAGAATGAAGAACAGAGCCTGGAGTGCGATTGAGAAGAAGAAAAAATGATCTGCGTGACAGTGAGAGAAGAAAGAACATAAGAAGTTGAAAAGGGGGGAAAAATAACTTGATGAACATTGAAAGTCCTTTAGACATTGTGCTTCTAACATGTTCAATTAAAGTGAAGAAGGAGAAGAAAAAAATCTTTGCACTATGTGGCTTTTTCAGAATCGTCGTTGTCGTGAGGACAAAGAGAAGAAGGAAACAAAGCTGTATCAATCGCGTTCGTTACATGAGTCCCCTACTCATGCAACTGGCGTCTTATCAAAAAGTCATAGCTGGTGTGGAAATATGACCAAATCTCCACTTTCATTATCCAATACATCAAGTCCTCAGTGCTCGTCAAGAAAGTCAGACAGTAGTGTGATGCAGTCTAGCCGCACCGAATATTAAATAAGCAAGAAAACGGAGTAACGAGACGATTATGCTGATTCTGCTTTACATGGGTGATGAAAGGCAATGAGAATATAACATTTAATGTATTTATGTAGATATATATCTATATATGTATATATAAGTAGTTTTTTATTGGTTAAGTTAGGACCAAGCTAGCTTGACCAACTTCTAATTAAGCTTATTTCATTCATCTTCTGTTTCACATGTATTGCTCATTCAAGATCCCCCCTCCCTCCCTTGATTTTTAATTGAGCGCGACATGCATTAGTATGATCCAAAAACTGCTTCCCTATTCTGACTTATTCTTAAAATGCGCATATAATTAGTCTCTAATTAGCAGGAGTACACTAGTATTAATTGAGATACCCTTTTCCGTTTTGAGAAATAGGACGATTCAATACTATATAATGTCATATAGCTTTCCATATGTTTTCGCTTGTTCTCTATCTCTCGGTTAGAAATGTTGTGATTTCATTATAATTTCAATGATTCAGTAACAATCTGTGATCCATTGTGTGTTTGTGTGTGTGTGTATGTTTCTTATGTTCTTTTCATCTTTTGGAAATAAATATAATGGTTTATTATCAATTATCTTATCTATATAGATCGATCTTATAATCGTCACAACATGTTCTCCATAAGTGTTTATTTGGTTATTGTAAGAGGTGAACAGAATACCCAACAGTATAAAGGCATTAACATGAATAAATTAATATGATTCAATAATCAATAATACAGATGCTATAACACGTCTATTTGATCAAAGCTTTAGAGCTTCTTCTTGGCCAACTCCTCGTACTTGGTCTTGCTGTTGTAGTAGAAGATGAGGGATCCAACGGTGAAGGGAGAGATGAGGATGGCGAAAACGATCCAGTATGGGTACTTGATGGAGAATTTGCGCTCGTACTCCTTAAGGCGGTAGATGTATCCTGAAAACAGATTATTCATGATCATTTCTTCTTTTCTGCTGTTTTACCTTCTCCTGGAGCATTGGTGAGTCCAACGTGAACGTCAGTTTCTCCTTGGGTGTTGTAAGTGACTTGGGCGGAAGTGTAGTTGAAGATTCCGTATTGTCTTGGCTTGAGCTGTAACAGAGGTCATTTGATTGCGTTTCATAGCATCATACTTACAACAACAGAGTGGACAGCCTTGCTACGTGGAGCAATGTCTTCGAAACGGACTTGGAGAAGTCCCTTGACGATTTCGAAGGATTGAGTTGGGAAAGAGTGACGGTCATCAAGAACAACCTGTAATTGCTCATTGTCTCTCGAAAAATCAATTTTTTTTCTCACGTTAGTAGCGGCCTTAGCTCCAACATTGTGAATTTCGTATTCAATAACTAAGTCCATGTTCTCAACAGCATACATGGAGAGTGGGAATTTGCTGGCCAAGATGTGGGCATCCTAAAAATTCATGAGATTGTTGTTATTCAAAGAAAAACTAAGATTTTCCGTTAACGAACAATCAGAATAGTATAAAGAAAAAATAGCTACCTTTGCTGTGTTCTTGGTTTCTTGGGTTGTTGAGGTAGTGGTGGTAGTAGTTGTGGCATCGGCAGCAATACTGCTGGCAACCAATGAAATAAGAATCCAAGCGATCATCCTGAACCAACAATATAATTATAATTATTAATTAAGGCAGCAGAGAGAGACGATAGGAGTAATCACAATTAACTGAGGAGACAGGAATACAAGTGACTCTCCTCTGTTTGAACTGCTGTGGCATCATTGTCGCTAACATGTCAGTATACCGTACTCTTTGCAGTTCAGCGTCACTGGTCTCGCGACGATTGTCCTTATCCTTACTATCGTTTATTGTGTGACCTATATATGAAGGACGTTAATTGCCTAAGAGCAAATGTAAGATGCCGATAAGATAAAGGAAAAATCCTTCTGCCGTTCTTTTGATGGGAAAAGTCATAATACTCAGCCATTGGCATGATGGCATTAGTAATATGAGACGCAAAGGTCGAGATTAGGCTAATTGCGAGCGCTCAACGATATAATCTCTGAACAGATGAACAAGATGAATATTCCAATTGTATAATTCCATTTTATATTTCAAATATTATTATTTGAAAGTTGGTTCAGTTCCCGACAATTAACACTGCGTGTTTTTATTTCGAAAAGGGTTCGAGTTCGATTCAAGTGGAAATGATTCACAAAAAAAATATGAAAACATTCATTCATTAACGTATCGCTGCTAATGATCATGTGGGTGTGACGATGAAATGGGAAAAAAGAAGAGTTTATGAAATTTGTAATAAAAACATTTAAAATCTCGTTCCATGCATTAAGGGTACTGTTTTCTCTTTTTTGCTTACAAAATAATTCTACTCAAGTGTGTTCCAGTATACTCGATTGAGAAACTGGGACAAGGTCAGTGAGTATTCGCTTCGAGTCATCATCCAATTCTACTATTCTTCGCAAGAACAGAATCGGAAGAGAAAATGTCAGAAATGTTCGTTTTTTTAATTTTAAACGTTTCTTTTCTAATGAAACTATCTTTGATAGAAATTGCAAGTGCAAGCGATGGGCTGTTAGCATGAAAGCTTGTTTTGAATCTGATAAGGTATACGTTTTCAGAAATTTTCATTAAAACATATTTTAAATTTAAGTTCGAATTGTTGTATAGGAAAGGTGTTCAATGTATTCCACATAATGACTATATCCGACTGAAGAATTACCATCATAGGTAAGCTCTTATAAGCTTTTCTCGAATCACTGAATTATCCTAAACAGAGAAGATGTACTAGCAGGACTCATAGGAAAACTTTTACTTTTCTCTTCTGCTTCCAAGGTATTGCCTATCAGATACTGTATTTTGAGTTTACATGTTCAGTTATCTGAAGAACCGTGGAATATAATTGAGTTTAAGAAGACGGATAAAGGAAAACCGTATCTTTCAAGCCCTATTAATCAGTCTTTCGGTTTGAACATATCTCATCAGGTTCGAGATATCATGGCATATTAAACAAATTTCCATCCTACAGGGAGACTTTGTGGTATTCGCTAGCAGTTGTTCTTCCCAAGTAGGAGTCGATGTGATGAGAATCAATTCTGAAAGTATTAATAATTACGTTTGAACAAATATAGAAAGAGGTTCTTTTTAAGGAAATAACATGTCTGCGGATGAGTATATCAATTCAATGGCTCAATCGGCGTCTAAGAATGAATTGGTTCTTATGCGCACACAACCAACAGATATAATGAAAATGACTGTTTTCTATAGAATTTGGGTAATTTCATCAGATGGAGGTTCTAATATTAGATATATGACAGTGTTTGAAAGAAGCTGTGCTGAAAGCAACGGGCGAAGGGATAATGAAAAACCTAGATCGTTTAGATTTTAATCTCAATACGTCTTCACGCTATAGACAAGGTTGTTTGTAGTAGTCAGCTTGCTCAAACAATCATTTAAATCATTCAAGGTTGTTTCATTAAAGAAACTTTTTTGAAAGAAGATGATGTGAATCAAGATCAATGGATATTCGAGGAGTCTTTCGTTGATGCATCTCATGTAGTTGCCGTATGCCGTGATGTTGGTTTACAATTCAATTTTCGTAACGAAAAAAGACAGAAATGGAAAGAAAGAAGTGAAAAAGTAGTTCCCCCCCCCCATCCTATTCCATCAACAAAAGAACTCTCTGACTGTATTTAGGACTAATTAATGTCTGCTTAGATAGTCGTGTAAAAGATTACGCGCTATTTTTTTCTAAAGAAAGAAAAGTAAACAGATTTTGCACTTTTCGGATGAATCACAAACTCAATTTGGGTTTATCCTCTTAGAAAACAAATAGAATTTCTCAAAAAAGAAGAGAGTTATTCCCGATAAAGGTTTCAGTTCATAAGTTCTTTTGTGTTCGTTTTTCCTTTTCGATTTTCGGGAAAGTACTTTTTTGTTTGAATAAAAAAAAAGGAGAGACAGTGAGTGAGAGAGAAATGAAAATAGTAAAGTAGGAGATATTCGAAGAGTTGATATAGTACTTCAAACTTAAGGTTTATGATGGTAATTGTTTAAATAAGTTTTGAAGAATGGGATAAGTTGAGTGAGATAGTGAGAGATAGAAAGCTGTTCTATAAGAGGGTAAAGCTATCTTCTTCATACGAAACCGGACAACATAGATCGTAATGACTTTCTACAATAGGCGTGCGTTTCTTCGTGTGTATAAACAATAGATTAGGAAAATAAACAGGCAAAAGAAGTGTGTCGTTCATGATCAAAACAGTAGTGAATGAAGTTCATCTGAGGATATAACACGAGTGATTTCTCATTTTTGTTTAATTTTTGTCAAGTGGTTTGCAAAAGAAACCGCTCACATCTAAATATAGAAAGAGTATTGTGAGTACAATGATATCATTCTGAACTTGAGATCATGTTGTGCATACATGATAAGCAATCAATCAATTACTTCACTCTATATGGATTTGTTTAGAAGAAAATGCCAAGACAGTGTCGTTTGAGGGATGATGAAGCTAAAATCTTCTTTTCTAAGGTCTGCTCATTATTCTCATACAACGGATATTCATACTTCTATTCAGATAACATTGGAAACGCTACTGGAAGGAGCTCAAAAAATAAATACATTACCAGACGATGGTGCAGATGCTTATGCTGAACTCATGGCAAGAAAGAAGAAAACATTTTGAAAGATATTGTGTTCTCCAATCATTCTATTGCATATAAACTTGTATTGAATATGTAATGCAAATAACATGGAAACGGAGACCAACTCTGAAACGCAGAAACAATAGAAAATCGGCAACGATTCTGTTTGTGATGATTTGCATGAAATAGGCTCAGAAACGGGTCGTATCTTCAAAGAAGCATTGTGCGATCATCTGGTGCAGCTCAACTTGCGCAAAGTATCTTTAAAATATTTCATTTCGGATAGGAGCATGCCGTTCATCGCTCATAATGCATTGTATCCTCATCATGTTTAAGTTTCAAAAAAAGTACCTTATATGTATAGTGTTCACAACAATGAGTCGACTCAAATAAACTTCATTTTCGGACCTCACACGATGTTTTCGGATACCCGCCCATTTTCGTGTGGCTACTATATAAACCTGAAAATGGAGGACTACAGGAGCGTGGACTTTCCTTTTTTGATTTTTTGTGCATACAAGGTACTCCGCCTTTGTTTGATTCGCAATCGGTGATGGACAGTTGCGAGTTGACAGTCTCTCACCATCTCTGCTTTCTCTTAGATGACCAATCTCTTTGTCAGAATCAACTTTTTCCACTTCAAATGAACAGTTGTTTTTTCGGATGCCTCTTCTCCATTCTTTCATTCCTCCTAGTTATTGTATATATCCATAATCCCTTCCCTCCTAGCTCTTTCCTTGTCGTTGATTCTACGTTCTCTGTATCAATCAGATATGTGCCACTTTCAGATATTCCCATAGCGATGATTATTTGGCTGGGCATATCAAGCTTGGTAATTGCTGCTGCTTCAGCTGCAACCCTAAAACTTCAACAAAACGATGATACGGTTTGTTTTGTACAATGATCATCATTGACTCTTCATTATAGCTCTTCCTCCGTGGAGTAGCTGAATATGAAACGACCCTGACAGCTGAAGACTTCAGAAGAGGTCAAGTCTTGATGGCTAGTCAATTTGCTTCAGCAGATTCTGATATTTGGGATTCTGATGCTATGTACAGCCGTAGCCGGTTTGAAGGAGATATTGCTAATTCTAATGTAAGTTGATGACTCTCGAAGACGAAAAAGAGTATGAGAAATCATACAAGCTACTTCTATCTGAATATTTCTGACCAGCTGCTCTATTCACAGTTAATATGAGAGCAAAAAATGTCAGCTTCTTGTTTGTCATGATTGCCAGACAACTATAAAGTCAATAAACAAGAGTAACTAAACTACAACTCGTACTCAAACGATTTGAATCATCAATGCAAACATTTCGCGTGAAGATGACATCTGAATAAGTTTGAACAACAAACTTTTCAACTTCGCGTCTACTCTATCCGAGAACGAAGAAGAACTTTACAAAAATAATTTCATCATTGGATGACACTTGAGAAAATGACACGAGCGCAATCTTTGCAGATGTATTTTCGATTTGATTCACCCTCATATCTCATCTGTCAATACACACAAAAACAAACATTTCACTGTTTTTTCTCATTGACTGGGAGCACAGTTTCATGTAATGAGTATTCAGATAGTCGGATTACCTGAGCTATTAGTATATATACCTCATTCTTTTCAGTTGAATGCCTCTACGGTTGAAGCTTTCATGAATGGTGGAGCTAAAGACTTAGGAAACGGCAACTTCTATAACGCCATCAAGAACCGTCATCAGTTATGGCCCAAGGGTCGGATTCCTTATACTATCAGCAGTCAATATAGCTCCTACAGGTATAATCTTAAGGATTTTACGGAAAAAAACAGAAACCAAATAGAAATTGCGATTTATATTTGGTATCCTTTCTTCTCATTTGAAAGACAAAAGACGGTGCGGTAGCTAAACCAACAGCAAATGACAGTGATTAGAATTGTTGATTGAGCAAACTTCATTCTTTGTCTATTTTTTTCCCCAAAATGAGACTGTCTGCTTCGTGTCCATAGATGAAAAAAAAGATGTGCTCTTCTCATCCTATTGACCATCCTATTGGGGTCATCTCTCTCATTCTTAGTGTCTAAGTGTGTACTTTACACTCTTGATGTTCACATCACGCATTCAGTGCTCAGACATAGAGATTTCAAAGATTATTTGCACAGAAAATTTCTCGATGAATATCTGAGCATCTGTCCCTGCATACAAAGCAGGTATCTGAATTTATCATCCAAAAACAAACAATCAATTGAAAAATTAAAATTGAGAAAATTTGTAGATGATTTCTATTTTCAGTCGATCTCTCATTGCTGCTTCTATGCAGGAGTACTCAACTCATACTTGTATCAAGTGGGTTCCAAAAGAGAACGGTGATGCTAACTACGTACACATTTACCCAGACAGAGGATGCTATTCAATGGTTGGAAAAATGGGTATCACATTACAGGAACTAAACAGCATTGAGCATGCTTACTATTTATAGGTGGTAAACAAATGCTCTCGTTAGGATCTGGATGTATCCAAAAGGGAATTATCATTCACGAACTCATGCATGCTGTTGGATTCTTCCATGAACAAAGTCGTACTGATCGAGATGATTATATTACCATCTTATGGAATAATATTTCACCTGGAATGCAAGGACAATTTGAGAAATACGGTCAAGGAACTATTTCTGACTTAGGAACCAAATATGATTACACCTCAATTATGCATTATGGAGGAAAGGTACTGATAGCTACTCTAATCTGTTCGAAAATCAAGCTTCTTAGGCTTTCTCAAAGAATGGACAACCAACCATGGTCCCTAAGCAGCAGAACGCCCAGATTGGTCAAAGATCTGGCTTCTCCAAGACAGACATGTTTAAAATCAACACCCTTTACGGTTGCCCAACAGGTTCTCACTACTGATTGGCTTTTTTAACAACACAATTCAAGATCAAGGCGGGGTTGAAACAACTACAGCCAGACCCACACAGCCCCCAACAACACAGCCTCCTGCTACAGTGCAACCAATCACTTCTCCATACACCCCATCACCATCAACTCCCACCCCTCCAAATCAACGTAAAAACTTACGAGGAGATTGCGATAACTTAGCTTTCAATGGTATGCATTTGTTCTTTGAATTCATAACCTCAACTTCGTTTATAGGTTGGTGCACACGAAACCCATCTTGGATGAATGATTACTGTCCATTGTCTTGTGGACCCACTAAACCAGGTGAGATTATTAAGGGGATTGATTAAACTTACGAATATTCAGACACTTCTTCAACACTCATTCCTGAACCCATTCCTCTCGGAACAACTACAAAACAACCTCTGAAACCAACAATCATTACAACGACTACAACAACAACAACACCACCAGCTCCAACTCCTCAGCCAGTTATTGATACTGATTGTGAAGATTTGAGAGTAGATTGCGTATCTTTAGTTAAACGCAGGTAAAAGCTCAAAACATAAGCAAGCAAGCTCAAAATGAATACCTTCAGGTACTGTAAACTGTCCGGCATTTTCATGAAGTCCTTCTGCTCGAAGAGTTGTGGATTCTGCTTCAAGCCTCCACCAACCGAGGTTCCAGATACTCATGCTACTGTTAGACCAGTACCAATATATCCATCAGTTGTTACGTTTTCGCCATTTGTTACCTTCCGTCCACCTAAGTAATTCCACAAACATTGAATAATATTAATATTATTGACAAAGTATGTTTAATAAACATAATTAATAATAAATTAATTCGCAACTATGTGTTATAAATAAATAAATACCTTGAGTAGTTTTTCTGCAACTTATCTGCCTCATCAGTGCTTGGTTTCGTGTGCACCAACCTTTAAACAAAGTTGAGGTTATGGTTTCAAAGAACAAATGCGTACCGTTGGAAGCTAAGTTATCACGATCTCCCTGTAAGTTTGATTCGTAGAGACGAGTGGAGTGATGGGGTGTATGGAGGGTTGCACAGTAGCAGGAGGCTGTGTCGGTCGAGCTGTAGTTGTTTCAACACCGCTTTGATCTTCAATTGTATCGTTAGCAAAGATAATGTAGTGAATACCCGTTGAGATATAAGAAGAAGAATGATTAATGAGATATTATTTATTATAAAAAACATTCACAAAAGAAAATAAAACAGTGTTGAATGAGATACAAGATCAGTGTTTGTCCACTTCCCCAATGTAGCCATAGGTAGCGAAGCTATCATCATCTGATTGAGATAAGTGTGGAGTATATTCCATCTCCTGAATCTCGCTCAAGAGATAGTCCTTGTTGAAGTATGCCGGACCACTAGTAGAGGGGAGAAGTAGCCCACGCAGATGGATTCGACAGGAAGCTCCATAATTACTATGCTTGAATATGCGGAACGTACCATTATTGCTAACCTGAAACGTAAACTCAATAATCAGTAATCGTAATTCAAAAGTTTACCTTATTCTGCATTTCAGCTTTGATTGCTTGGTAATGGCTGGCTTCCTTTTTTCCTTGATAAGCGAGGCAGAGTATCTTGAATTCCAAATCACTCCTCCAATAGTGCTTGTGAACTCCAACATGGATGGGAGGGAATGAAAATCCAGAAGTTTGAGGTGGATATGAAGAGCGATAAAAGTCCTCTTCAGTTTCATATCCAACGAAAGGTACAACATATGGATAACAATCATCCTTATAGTTTTGCAACTTCTGCAAATATAATTAAAACATGAAACAATCTCATAAAAACTTACATCTTTCAGCAGAAGATGGATGTTGCCCAGTGTGTACTTCCTCATGATTGAGACGAACCACTCATAGAATCTTGTGCCAGCAGAGGTTTCCTTGATTCCTCTGTAAACATAAACAATGAACAAAAGAAAAAACAAAGAACTCACCTTGAATAGAGATAGTTGGAAAGGGTAGGCTCTCTGTTTCGGATCACCTGCTCACGAAAAGATCTATAAGATTTTATTGAAAACAGTTTCTTTTTAGAAAAAAACTTACTCGCTACAATGCTGCAGAATTGCCAGATACTTGAAAGCTACGGTCATCACCATAAAGTCACGAAGAACCTCGTCTTCAAGCTCGATGAAGTTATGAAGTTCGAAATTTGGAAGACGACTAGAATGGTATTATGTAAGCATGTTAAAACAATTGTTAACTTACCCATGCTTCACCATGATGCAGTTAATCACGTAGGGTGATGGCAATTCCCAAATGTTGTGAATATTCTATAAACAATTGATTATGAATTAAGGTTTGAAACGCTTACCAAAAAGAAGTCGAACACATTGTCATTCACGGTACTAAAGTGTTTTGGTGGTAGAGCAAACTGATGAAAATCCTGACCAAATCGAACCATCTATATAGCAATAGAATCAAATTGAAACATTGAACGTAACACTCACCACGTTTTCCATCTTCAGTCTATCCGGGTGGAAGTAGTCGATGTAGCGGTCATCTTCAACAGCAGTAATTCTATAAAAAAAAGTTTTTAAACATGGAACATATTAAACCAACTTACTTTGGATCATATTTGAACAGATTCAGGATGTCCAAGTTGAGTCCTCCATAGTGTACGAAATACTCGTCCTTCTTCATGGTACGGAAGTAGTCAGTATCCTTGTCTTGGTTACGGCAGATCTTCTTGACAGTCATCGTTGGTAAGAGATTGTTAGCTGTAGATAGTAGGCAGGAAGTTCCTTGAACGGTGCGAATACAGAATGAATTGTATATCTGACCGACAATTACTTTATATCAAATTGGCGCGTAAAGGCGCCTTTTAATTGCGCGCAATATTGCGAGCCAAAAAAGGGCAAACTGTACAATGATCTCTACGCGTGAGAGCAAAAGTGCATATAACTGTTTTCTATAATTTTTAGAATAAAAATTATTATTTGATGGGAAAAATGGTCTTTGTAGTTTCCCCTCAATCATCTGTGAGTTATCCCAATTACTGATTACGGTATTTGAGAAATAAAATAAGAAATGATTTTTGTGAACTATCTGAGCAAAAGGAAAAAGAAAGAGAGAGAGAGGAAGAAAGGAAGAAATCATATTGAATGAATGAGCAGTCAGCTATTACAATTCTTGATAGGCATAAACTGATATTTCGTCTTATCCTATGTTAATGTCTTTACAACCTTATTGATCATATAAACTTTCATACAAGTTATTACTTAATATGAATATATGGTATATGACTAATTTATATTATTATATCATTAATTGTAAATATTCAAATGTCATTATGATTTCATTGTTCATATCATACATCATCATGTCTCATCCTTATACGATAGATACTCAATGTCATTGAGCTTCTCATATTCAGAATTCCATTTGAGTTTCAAATTTTCT